GGACAAGGACCACTTTGACCCCTCCCTTTCCCAACTGTGATTGACTAACTGAATGCACATCACACTTAAGTGAACAGTAGCTGGAATATTTTAACTGCACCACTTTACCAATGTTTTACTCAAAATCAGCTTCAAGACGTTTGTCGGCTCAAAATCGTGCGACATTTATGTAGTTTGACGTCAGCATAAACAACTGCAGGACAGCCGAGCTTCGCCACACTTTAAACATCACGCACGAGATAGCCGACCAGCGAAACCTCTCTGGATTGTTGTCGGGTCTGGTCGGCGGTGGAGGCAACTTAAACAAAAGCCCGAGCTTCAACGCACACTCAACATCACGGACGATACAGCTTCCTTGCAATGTTGTTGGGCCTGGTAGGCGGCAGAAGCAACGTAAACAAAAGTGGGTCAGCCGAGTTGAACGATGGCTCAGCTCAATGTTAACAGTGAAGTAAAGTAATTCAGAAAATGGAGACAAATAACCATTCGCACTGACAGTGACACTTCGGGACAATTTAGAGTGTGCATGTTTTTGGAATGTGGGAGGAAACTGCAGTACCAGGAGAAAACCCACGCAGGCACGGGGAAAACATGCAAACTCCACACGGGAAGGCCGGGGCCTGGAATTGAACCCTACTTCCGCACACCGTGCCACCGGGATGATAATCAGCACCTGCAAATCTGAGACAATGGTACTCAAGTCAGAAAAAGGTGGATTGTGGTTCGTGTCTGAGAGAACATGATCTTGGATACAGTGGCCGAAATGAGTTAACGTCAAAACCTTGGTCAGCCGGGAGGGACTCGGAGCACCTGGTTATCTACATTGACAGAAGCCAGTTGAGGTGGCTCAGGCATTTGATCACAATGCCTCCTGGATGCCTCGCTGTTGAGATGTACCAGGCATGTCACACTCGGAGAAGACCCCAGACATGCTGGAGAGACTGTCGGTGTATCCAATGCAGAGGCAATTGCTCTAAGACTGCAAGGGAAGCTCAGCTTCCCCTAAAATGTCAAAAACTAAGTGATCAAATATATGTGTGTACGTACAATTGTGTGGGCATGTCATTGACTAAATATGCGCTACAATGCGCTCAACTTTTGTTCCGAATCAGCTTCTTATTACTGGTTACGACGCGACTCTTTTCTCATTCGTTCCCGCAGCTTCACTGTGCTTTAAACTGTGTGCACGCTGAGCGTCGACCGCGCAGACGCTGGGCGTCTTGAGAGTTCAGTGTAGGTTGTCCCAATGCATTGAAACGATACGAATCATTGGATAAATGCTGGTTTTGTCCCACCCATCAGCACCCATCGGATGCTCAGCGTCTCTGGGAATCTATGGACAGTGGGCGTTTTATAGGCTGGCCAGGAAGCTCAGCTTTTCTGCATGATGACTGGATGATCTGTCTGAGGCTGAATCTCTTTTTGAGTGACAGCGAAATGAGCCAATCACCGATCTTATGGTGAAGGCAACCTTCTCATTTTTTGGAAAAGGAACGGAGAGTAGAATTCACCTATAAATAAACAGACACATTTTATTTCCCTCCCACCCCCTCCAGCACGCCCTGACAGCACTGGGTAGCTCCTTCAGCCAGAGATTGTTACACCCGCGCTGCAAGAAGGACAGATACCGCCGCTCATTCCTACCGACTGCTGTCAGGCTGCTAAACAAAAAATAAAATACGTGAAAAACCGGTAACAATTGTAAATAGCACAGCCACCTTGTACCAGTTGCATATATGCGTATATATCTTCTTCTTCTTCTTCTCCTTTCGGCACGTCCCTTTTCAGGGGTCGCCACAGCGAGTCATTAATTCCCGTCCGTCCCTGCAAACCGCCCTATCAACTCGCATGTCCGTCTTGGCAAAAGTTTTATGCCGGATGCCCTTCCTGACGCAACCCTCCCCATTTCTCCGGGCTTGGGACCGGCACCGGGGAACAGTGTACCCCCAGGGGAGGGCACTGCTCCCCAGCGGCTGGGTTATATATGCTTTTAACCTGGAAAAGCAGATAACCATCACTTCTGCACCCATTGCCTCCTGAATGGGTGCTTTTATTTATTACAGCACATTTGGATTATTGCAATTGCTTGTATTATGGCCTGGATCCTTGATCCATTTTTCGCTTGGAGCTGCTTCAGAATGTAGCTGCTCTCTACCTGACAGGGAGAAGACATTTTTATCATGTTACTCCTGCGCTGCAGTCACTTAACTGGCGCCCTGTGTCTTTTCGGATTCGATTTAAAATGTGATTGTTTGTGTTCAAACCTCTGAATGGTCTGGGTGTTGTTTACATGTCTGAAATGTTGTGTTGGCATGCTCCAGTAAAAGCCCTGCGGTCATGTGACCAGCTATTGTTAACCTGCCCCTGTTCGAGGCTAAAAACCAGAGGTGACAGGGCGTTTGCGGTCACACGACCCAAATTTTGAAATGCACGCCCTTTGAACATATTCTGTGCTTCATCTGCAACTTTTAAAAATATTGATTTCTGCTGAGCTCGGCTGGAAATTGCATCTTAATGTTTTAATTTGTATATTTTTTTTTATCTATTGTAATTTTTCTATAGTGTCATCTTTTAATATGTGCCGCACTTTGAGCAGTATTTCCTGTATTTTAAAGTGCTATATGGATAAACCTTGTCCTTGACCTTACTCGTGGGTAAAGAGCAAAGTTTTAACCTGGATTTAAAAGAATTTACACTTCATTGGTATGTTTTGAATTTGTATTCATTCATAATATTCACTTTGATCACACTGATCAACAAGGGTTTTGGTGTTAAGTACGTTTCAAAGGTTTCAGTGTATTTTGATGGTGTGAATCTGTTTTTTCCAAGTTGGCACTAATTTTTCAGATATTCAGTATTTTGGTTTCACAAAAGTGCTAAAAACACAAAAATGGTGAAACTGTTATTCTCTTTATGCTCCAACTTTGAGACTATCCATCTTTTCAAGCATGTTTAATGATATATTTAATTAATTGTAAATAGCACAGCCACCTTATACCAGTTGCATATATGCTTATATATATATTGCACTTATATTGAACTGTGTACAGCTCTCTTTATCTACATTATTTTTGTGCTTGTCAACACTTGTTTTTCTTCTTTCTACCCCCCAAAATTGCTGCTGTAGACTGTAAATTTCCCCAGTGTGGGACAAATAAAGGATATCTTATGTTATGATGAAGGCCGAAATTGAGCTTTCTCTCCTTGACAGACCAGCATCCGCCACTGATACAATGAAACCAAAGACCAAAAATTTGCAAAGGTAAATTTGGCAAACTGTACAGAGACGAGGTGCGGAGACTGTTCACGTCAGTCAGTGCCTTAGCCAATCAGGATGCAGAACGCAATTCACTGTTTAAAAGCATTAAAAAAAAACTGCACTAAAAAAAAAATCTGTGAAACAGAGAAGCCGCGGAAAGTGAACCGCGTTAGAGCGAGGAATAACTGTATATATAATTTTATCTGACTTACCAGGTTTGTCGCCCTTTCTAATTTAGTCGGACAAAAAAAATCTCCGTTCAAGTCCTTTCCCTCAAGCCATGACCACTTGAACGTGTTCCTAACACTCGCATCTATTGCACGTATGTATGTCTTGCCTGTCTACCTGTTTGAACATTGCGCTGGGGCCGTCCCTGGCCGATCACGCATGAATTAGTTTACACAAAACGCTATTTAAATACTCGACATTCAATGATTAATCTGCCTTTTGTGTGCACACGCGTACCCTTTGTGGCTGCCGTTCTCGCCGAAATGTCGAAATCTCCGAGATATGGCGAGGCCATGAGAATGCGAGGGGAGGCGTCTTACTGTTACTGGTGTTCGTATCTCAACATGGCTATGCTCGTGAAAGCAAAACAACGAACTATAATGTGTGTTCATTCAATGTTGTCAACTAATATCCGGATTAATTTTAGGCAATGTTTCCTCAATTTTTCAGAGGAAATTTCATGAAAATTTGAAAATCTGGAATTCCGGGAAAATCTGGAGGACTTTCATCCGTATTTATTACGGTCGTCTTGACAGCTTACAGTGAACAACTGTGACATCAGCGTGATGAAAATGTTGACTGAAACTAGAATAAACATGCATTAGCTTCTTGTAACCAAATACATACAACACAAATTGTCCAGTGCCAAACAACAGATATAAATGCAGCTCTAATCCCCTTTTCCCACTGAAACTAGTGGATAGTAGTGATCCGTGGCATATTGTCCCTTTCCTATTGATCAACAGAAGGCGATTCTGCTTTCCCATTTTCACGATCCTTTCGCATGCTAATTGATTGTTAGCACTAATTTAGCGGCATTGCTACGTTCGTAAACGGTGCTCCAAGCGAGCAAGTTTCAGGGCCAACACTTGACGAAAACGATCTCCGAAACAGATCTGTAAATGCCTCTAAAAACAATCAAACTTACAGCCATTGCTTTCAGAGGTGTACAGAAAATAAATGTAACACAGCAGGACCAATTAGAATGACCACAGTCAGGGTTTCTTTTTTTTTTTTTTTAATAGAATCTTTATTCGAACAAGTCATAATACAATTCTCATAAACAGAAAACAAAATGAACATGTTATTAATACATACACATATTACAAACATTTAAACAAAAAAGAAGCCAGGGGATTTTAAACAAAAATTTCAAATAAGGAGCATATAGCCAGAGTTTTAACAGCTTTCTTGTTTTTAGAATCCATAATAGAACTTAGCATTGCCAGAACAAGTGAACCATTGTTTCAGGGTACATTCCACAAAATGAACAATCAACAGAGATGTCTTTCTTGAACCTAAGAAGATAATGCTTGGTGGGATAGTATTTGTGTATCATTTTAAAAGAGATTTCCCTTACTTTATTAGTCAGGAGGTATTTGTATGGGAGAGACCAGATTTTTCCCCAGTGTAGATTATTACCTACTGGTCTGGTTTTGTTGATAATGTGTGGGATTGTTGAAATATCTTTTTGAAACAGGGAGCGTATTGTAATGCCCTTCAATAGCGGAGAGAAGGATGCACGCAGTCGCTGATACAATTCGTCGTTATTTAATGAACAAATAAGGCAGTAAACACACGCATTCAAAGGAGTTGCTGTTAGCCACAACTCACGCCCATGCGCTCTACACTCAGACTGACTACCAGAGCCAATATTCCCCCAACCTGGCTCCTCCCCTTTCTATGACGTCACACCAATACAAGAAACAGATATTACAGTATGTTACGGTTATTATTTCTGACTGATGTTGACGTAAAACAGGATTTGCCAATAGCAGTCATTTTGGGGTCCAGGGTTGGTGTGGAGGTTGTTCTGTCCACCCCTTTCAAGAGGGTCAAGATTCCAGAAGGAATAGCATCCATGACTGTCGCAAATTCTTTTGGGGTGACCGGTAGATTAAATTTATTCAAATATTCAGAGTAATTTAAAAGGATACCTTGATTATTGGTTAGTTGACTGACCAGGATTATTTTTTTATTGAACCAATTATGGAGAAATAATGATCTATTCTTGTATAAGATGTAACGATTATTCCAGATAAAACATTAATTAATTATGTTGATATATCAAGGACCAAGCCAAAAGTATTTGTTTGTGGAAATTGGATAAAGCCAAGGGAATTTTTTCTATTTTGTAGTCACATAAAAGTACAAAGTTAAGACCACCAAGTTGAGAAAATATATAGTTAGGTATAAAGTTCACAGTCAGGGTTTCTGCAGTGACTCGTTTGACAAAACACGACGTCTGCTACCCACAATGCATTGCGATTACTAACTGCGTTTTCGGAATAAAATGCAGGTAAACAAACACTGACTAGATGGAATTATTTTAAACACAATTACCCTTTTGCACGAAAAAACATGAATTATGACGTTTCAAATCAGCAGATGTTACCCCCCTCCTTTTTTTTTTTTTTTTGACGTTCATGAAACGCTGCCAAAACTTTTACTTTGAGCAGGTTGCATGAAGGTGTTTTGCAGTGTTACTGAGAAAAAATTATGAAAAGGTGAATGTATTTGGGAGTTACTGTGCATTTGTGTGGAAGCACATGTTCTCGTCTGGCCTTGTGAGTGCTCCAGCTTACACTCATGATTCATAAACACCGATATACAACGAGGTTGACTGAAACCTACATTGTCTGTTCCTGTTGTAATTCCTCTCATTTTCAACTGTTTAAAGTGGGTCTGAATCGGAGTTAAATCATTGTTTTGTTGAATCTAATCCCTGTGATGCGTGAGGTTCCTCTCACCATTTCACATTTCCTAACTCGTTTATGTTACTTGGAAAGCAGGTCCCCCTGCTGAATTATTATTACCGGGGCAATACTGATCGATTGTAACTCACAGCGTGCTTGAGATAGAAGGATGGGAGATGGCTCGAACCTCACATAAACAGTTCCATTTTATAATTCATTCATCTCTCGATGGCTTAATGCTTCGCAGCTCTTTTGAAGATACTTCAAGCATGCGCTGTAAAGACCCTTATCATCTTCTGTAATGCATAGGTAATCACATGTGTGTCACCTCTCAGCACTTGCCCTCCTTGACAGGCCAATCAGCCGGGCACCCCAATTGTGAAAAACATGCGTTTTACCTGACATTTTCTGCCCCCTATTTTCACTCGCTTTCATTCATCACGAGACCGTGATTGACATTTGGTGGACTGCCTGACACTGATGGCTCTGAGAGGGCGTTCAAAAAAAAAAAAAAAAAAAAAACCCTGAGTAAAAGAGCAAACCCGTCAGATCTGCCAGCACACACACACACACACACTCAAACTAACTCACATAGCCATTTTCCAGATATGTATTTATTTTCATCCCTCACTTTTCCCTTTGTCCAATGGACATCCTCTGGCTCGTTCAATAAAGAAAGCATTTGGATTCATGTTTGGGCAAGGGTATGGTCCTCCCCAGTTCGTGTTAGAGGTGCCTAAAGACACACAAAAATATGATACCGCTAGTTGACCACAGGATGAATCATTTGTTTTTATGGGCTTGACAAGTTTAGGGGTACTGTGCAAGAAGAAGATCAACAAAGAACAATTTGAAGTTACAACAGGGGTGTCCAAACTTTTTCATTTGTTGGCTGCATACAGCAAAATGGAAGGGTGAAAAGGCCACTTTAAAATTCGTCTTTTTGAAACACGCTAAAGTCCGTTAAGAAAGCAATTACATATTGTTTGTATTGTCTACTTAATTTCATCAGCTGTAAAAGGTGTTAAAGCAAATATTTGAGGATTTTTCCAAGTTTCCGGCGGAGGGCAACAGCTGTCTATCTCACAGAGCAGATCCAGCTCTGTGCTTAACAGCAGCCAAATCCCATCGCCGCATTCAGAACAAGCTGTAGTAAAGTGACCATTTTTCAAACAGTTACTAATAGGATGTCTTCATAAATCAGCCATAAAGCACAAAGTGGAATAAACTATTTTTGCCTCTAAAAGTGAATTAGTTTTATTCACTACAGTGTTTCGAAGATGAATTGTGTGATTCTTTTCATCATAAATGGTTTATTTGTACCTTTGAATATAGAGAAAGGTTCTACAGCAGATAAATTTATTACCGGTAATGGCGCCAAATTTTCTGACCCTCTAACTTTTAAAATGTAATTACATTTGTCTATCCATCCATCCATCCATCCATCTATTTTCTAATTCGCTTATACCCTCACGATCGTCGCTAGGGGTGTTGGAGCCTATCACAGCTGTCTTCGGGCAGTAGGCGGGGGAGACCCTGAACCGGTTGCCAGCCAATCGCCGAGCACACACAGACTAACAACCATTCGCATTCACAATCACACCGAAGACAATTTAGACTTTAGAGTGTTCCATTTAACTTGCCACGCATGTTTTTGAAATGTGGGAGGAAACCCGAGTGCCCGGAGAAAACCCACACGGGTACGGGGAGAACATGCAAACTCCACACAGGGAGGCCAGAGCCAGGATCGAACCCACGATCTCTACACTGTGAGGTCGATGCGCTAACCACTCACGCACCGGGCTGCCCATCTTCAGTCTATCCAGCCAAATATCAAATGGTCGCCAGTCCCTCTTGATACAGTTCTGAGCTGTATCCTTCAGAAAATGTGATGTAACACTTTAGCACAAGTCAACACTGTGCTGTTGATATTTTCCCAGCATTTGTGGCCCAAAAGTGAAAGCATAGCCACAAATTTATCTTTACCCAAATGAAGCCCAAGGGTTCCTTCGCCAATCCGACAGGAGTCTGGAGTTTGAATTACAAATTAGTTTTGCTTCGGATTTGGGGCTAATCGCCTCGGCCATTGCCACCATCGCCCTGGGAGATGGGAGGGTGGGGGCGAGGGGGGTGGGGGCGATGGGGGGTGCACTGGGAGAGAGAGTCGGCGTGAGGTAGTGATCCAGCACTTGAACTGCGGGCCCTGCGCCCTAATTAACAGCTGCCGTAAATGAAAAGCAGCTGGCAATAATTACATAATTAAAGTGCCTTTGGGGGGAAGAAAAGCATAATTTCTGCAGCTATCATCATAAATCTTGTGCTGTCCAAGCTTATACGTTTAACATGAGCTTTTCCCCAAGTAGGTTAATGCATTACTCATATAAAACACACACTATCCCTTATGTGTCGGACCGAGACTTGGTTCATTATCAAAATGGTACCGAATGGACGCCAGCGCTTTGCGCCCAAATGCGTTTTAAAGAGCCGCTGTATCATGAAGAGCCAACACCTTCCGACTCTGTGTATGAAATTCCCCTCATTTGAACTGGAGAGATAGTATTTCTTACAAAAATAAAGAGGATGTAAGTTGAATACAGCATGTTGGAGACTTTTAAAAGAGAATTCATCATTTTCAGGGGGACCACTTCAAAGAAGCGCATTTTCAGCCGAGCTATGAAATCCTGATAGAGACCATTTGTTTATTCTATGGGTCATTGAGTTAAAACTGAAGTCAGATGGTAATTTTCATGCTGCCAGCGCCACGGCCGTCAGTAGATGAGCAATTAAGCAGTTGAGCTTATTTCACAAAGCAAGCCATAAACACCACTAAGTGTTTATGAATTAACCCAGCCGGTTTCGGTGAGTCTTTGCCATGATTTTTTTGTCACTCTCGGGCATGATTAATTGTTACATTTTTCAAAATTATTGAGACACAAATAATTTGATTCAACGAGGGGCTATTACCACATCCCATAATAGACATGTTACAATGATGAAAGCTTTAATTTGTTTTAAGAGCACTTACGGGGGTTACAAAAGCCACTTCACTCCCCATAATCAATCATATGTCACTTAGCGCAAGTGTCATATTATAAGGGAAATGCAAATATGCCATCTTAAATGCACGTGTCACGACAGCTGGCTTTTCACGGCTCTTTGAATCTCTGCTTACTGTTTTCACTGTGAAGAAAATTACAAGTAGTCATTTGGCAGAAGATTTGTCCTCGATGAATGACGAAGGCGACTGACAGTAGGCGTAACGCAGCACCACTTTCAGACCGCCTGCAAACAATTACAGACAGACACCATGAAATGTCTCATGGCTGGAAATGTGTATGCAACATAGCATTTTGGCAGAAGTCTTTAAGAAAATACTCATTCTATATTTCATACGAATGTTTGAACTCTCCAATGCTCTTTCCAAAAGTAGCAAAGGAGAACTCAATATGCTGATATTAAATATAAGGCAGTGGAAAATGCTTTATATGCGACTAGGATTGAGGTTAAGACCTAAAAATAGGCTTTGACTTCAAATCATGACGCAAAGGTCCCCTTTGGTGTGGGAGTACTTTAGGGTCATACAAATAAATTGATCCTACGACACACATGAGATCACACTGTATTGAAAATTGAGAGTTCTTTTTTTTTTCCTTTCACCAAATGTACCAAAAATACTGTCGAGCCCATGTCTTTGCTTACGTAGAAGGACAAATTTGCTGTCAAAGTATTCATAAACCAACAGTTAAGGTAAACTATTGCAAATCAGTTCCCACAACACTGCATCCCATTCAACCATGAACTAAGTCAGCGGTCCCCAACCTTTTTTGGCCCACGGACCGGTTAAATGTCAGTATTTTCAGGGACCGGCCTTTAATGTGTGGCGGATAAATACAACAAAATAATATGATATGACCTGCATGAAAACTGTGGTATTTTCAAAACATAATAATCAACTAGCGAGTAACTAACTAGCCAGGGAAAGCATGAGTCAATGTGGCTTTTACATGTCATGACTGTGTCGTTACTGTCAATTTGATAGCAAGGAAAGTAAGAAGGTACCTCACTTTGTTCTCTGCAAACCAGCTGTGTCCGAATTCTGTCAGTCAGAACTGAAGGTCCTTTAGCAGGGTCAGCAGACAGGGGCTCAACATCAGCCACAGGATTTAGTAGGATTTCTAATTGAGCCATTTCTAATGAAGAGAAAATGGTATTACTGTCATTAGTTATTTCCAGCATTTATAATACGATGCAAAAACACACACACACACACACACACACACACGCACACACACACACACACACACACACACATGAATAGCCTATAGCTTTCAGTCACTCAAAAGAGAAATCTACATACTTTTTGCCCAGTTCTCCTCTTCTTTTTGAAAACTGGGCACGTGATGGCTTCTTTGGTCTTTTACTTTGATCCATGATCATCATTTTTAAGTCTCGATATCATAATATGATGGTCATCCAATCCAATCACACTTTCTTCATGAATCATTCTAAAAACATCATAGTTGGCCAAAGTGTCGTGCACAAATAGACAACAATTAAAATAATAAATAAAACAATAAAAGTGCACAGAAAACTCAACATAAAAATGGAAACAAAAGTCAACTCTCAAGCCGATTTAAATACCTGTGAGAGTTTTGAGCAGCAATTTAGAAACATGAAGTGAATTGGCCTGTGTGATAATCAGAGGGAGTTTGTTCCACAATCTTGGCATGGCCATGACTTTTCGCATTACCTTATGCCAGCGTTGTCCGTTCACCCATCAATCAACCGGAGTCCAGTGACACGTGACATAAACAAATTTACATCGATTCTAATATCTGTCTATCAATCGATATATCTACTTGTTTATGTTTATACATATACACCGTATTTTCCGCACTAAAAGGCGCACTGGATTATGAGGTGCACCTTCAATGAACGGCCTATTTTGTAATTTTTTTCCTACACAGTACAGTCAAACATCGGTTTTCGAACGTCTCTATTCTCGACCAAATCAGTTTTCGACCAAAGATTTGGTAGAGTGTTTTATGCCTCGGATTACGACCGAAAATTGGTTCTCGACCAAACTGAGCGCACTTGAATGCGCCACTCGACTCCTCTCGCCTTCCTTACACGAGGAAGTGACGCTTCCTCATGTAGCGTTCCATTGTGAGCAGATGTGTTCAATAAAGATTTTTTTTTAAAAAGAGCGTGGTTTCAGTTTTCGAACAAATCGGTTTTCGAATAGCCTTCTAGAACGGGTTATGGTCGAAAACTGAGGTATAACTGTATTGCACGCACTGGACTATAAGGCGCAATCTACAATGCAGCCACTAGATGGAGCTACAGGTACGTCTTTGTCCATCTCCATGTCTTCTCTTCTTAGACTCGAGAGGCATTCATGACCGCCTACAAAAAACGTAAATTAACGATTACTTAAATTCATTCATTCATTCATTTTCCGAACCGCTTGATCCTCACCAGGGTCGCGGGGGGTGCTGGAGCCTATCCCAGCTGCCTTCGGGCAGTAGGCGGGGGACACCCTGAATCGGTTGCCAGCCAATCGCAGGGCACACAGAGACGAACAACCATCCACGCTCACATTCACACCTAGGGACAACTTAGAGTGTTCAATCAGCCTACCATGCATGTTTTTGGAATGTGGGAGGAAACCGGAGTACCCGGAGAAAACCCACGCAGGCCCGGGGAGAACATGCAAACTCCACACAGGGAGGCCGGAGCTGGACGATTACTTAAATGAAACTACGAAAACTGAAAATACAGTAATGCATCAAAACAGAAAATCTCAAAATAAATTCTATAGCCCCCCTACAGAATTTATTTTGGCATTTCCTTGAGCGTAGCTCCAACAGAACGATCGAATGTCTGTAAAATCTAGGAGACTGGACTGTCTCAGAAGTGTTTGTTATTTATTCCTTTGTTGTGTACTGTATTCACAAACGAAGAAATCACAAAATGCCCCCCATACAATGAAAAAAAAACCCAGTTGCATTGTATGAAATCTTTTCCTCTGCTCTTGCCTCGCGATGAGATTCACTACAACGAAGTCTAATCCAACAGCGACCTCTACTACTTCGTTCGAAAACGGCAACAGCAACCACCACACTGGTTTACACATGAGCAGTAGTCCAGGAAGTATTTGTTATTGTTAGTTTCAGACGCAGCAAGAACGTTGCATTGCTAAAGGTGAAGCATATCTCAGAGAACGTCATGCATGAATACTTGACAAAACTGGAGCATTAGTCAGACCAAAAGACATCACCAAATCTTCAAAGTGGCCAAGGGCGAGCTTGAATGCTGATTCCACTCATCTCCTTCCCACATTCACACCAAATAAATGATAAGTGTTTCAAAGACTGAGAGGCCCAAAGGAGGACTTGTTGATGAGTGGGAGTGGATACCTATTCTTGATGGTGATGTCATTTAGTCCTTTCAAGTCAATGCGTGGTTGAGGGGTCTTGTATTATTTTATTTATTTATTTATTGGTGTAAGTAAAAATGATATGATCGTGATGTGATGGAAATATAGTGAAATAAATTAATAAATTAATGCGTTAACTCCCAGGATTAAGTAGTTCCTCCCAATTTGAATTCGGAAATGATTTAAATTGTAATTTCCAATTTCAGAGTGCGGCACACCCACTTTAAAGTGGCGACTTAGAACATTCATTCATTCATTCATTTTCCAATCCACTTCGATTCTCACAATGGTTCGCGGGGGGAGGGGTGCCGGAGCCTATCCCAGCCGTCTTCGGGTAGAAGGCGGGTGACACCCTGAACCGGTTGCCAGCCAATCGCAGGCACACAGAGACAAACAACTTGGGACAATTTAGAGTGTTCAATCAGCCTGCCATGCATGTTTTTGGAATGTGGGAGGAAACCGGAGTACCCGGAAAAAACCCACGCAGGCCCAGGGAGAACGTGCAAACTCCACACAGGAAGGTCGGAGCCGGGATCGAACGCACAACCTCTGCACTGTGAGGTCGACGCGCTAACCACTGGACCACCGGGCTGCCCGACTTAGAACACAGATGCAATGCATATGATGTAGGTCAGGGCTGCCCGACCAGTAGCCCGCGAACTAGTCCCAAGTCGATCGCGGGGGTCTAGGGCACATATGTCAAAGTGCCAAAAGATATATGTCAAAGAGAATGTTTTCAGTGGCCCCTGGGATGATATTGATTTATTATTAGAAACGGCCCGCAGACCGCAGCAAGCCAAGAGCCCGCAGATCTTTTATACGCACCAATACTACATTTCCCACAATGCAACGGTGACGCACCAAGCAGTCGGCCGCTTTATTTAAATATTTATTAGTCGAGCAGTCATTCCCATAACAGTGACATTAGCTTTCAGATACCCATCAAAAATGGCAAAACGGAAGGTGGACACTGAGAACCGGACTTCTGTGTGATGTTTTGTTCAGCTTCATCAAAGAAAATAGTTGTTCACACACGTATGTGCTGCCAAACTTTTGACAACGTTTGAGCAGCCTGGATGCGCAGCGGG